GAATCAGAATCTACATTTTATCCTGACAAATTCTTAGACTGTTAAAGCTTGGAGGGCGCTAGCTGCTCGTACAGTTTGGAAAGAAACAGATATTAGCTGTTTTAACATGCTCAACTTGACAAGAAAGGTCAGCACCACTGCTCTTCAAAATGAAGAAAACACAGTCACCAAGCGATGCCTATGGTAGCCTTACCCAGCTCTATGGGCCTGAGACAAATAGTCTTTATTTGGTGATGTCACTATCACTTGACTCCCTCTGCTCATACAGCAAGGACCTAAAGGTCCTCTGTCTATACTTATTAGAAATACAGATTCATAGTTTTTATTGGGATAGACAGAGCTATCTATTAACCCAGATTAACCTGAGCTAGTTAAAGGCACCAACCCAGAATGCTCTAGTCCTGGTAGTCAGCGAGATGATATCTGAGAACCACATAGATAAACAGATGCTGCCTTGTTGAAATTATAATGCCCAACTGAGTCACCTCCATCTACCTCTACTGGAGGTGGGACAAAGACTGGAGTAAGCCCCAGTCCTCAAAGAGAGAGAAATAAAGCAGCAGGGAGGTGAGCTTCTGGTCGTCCGCTAAAGGCAGGGCTCATGTATTCATCTCAAGGCCAGGCTTTTATTTCCTTGGGGAGTCCACCATCTCTTAATCACAAAAGCAATAAGAATTTCCAATATGTTCCTGGGCCGTGCCTAATCACTTGTTCCAGCTGCCAGTCAGCAGCCATGCCTGAAAGTTCATGTAAAAGCTCTCCTCCAGTCTTGAAAGCAGTAGTGACCCCTGAGGTGACACAGACAATGAAGGCCGCCCCATGGGCAGCCTGTGTGTACCGGTTGATTTGATCACAACAGTTTTGTTAATATTGCCTGTATTCTGGAGGGATCAGTTCTCTTCCATGTGCTTTGATCAATAGGCCGCACTGTATGTCCCATTGGTTGAGTTTGGAAAATAATTTTGAGTGTATATGGGAGGAAATTTTTGCTTTTGCAGACAGCAATCATCTGGAAGGATCTGTTGGGTGGGCAGGTCTGTGTGAAGTCAGCAGGTAGGCAGACTTAAAGTACTCATAGAGATTAGCACCTCCCTGGCACAGAGTGGTTCTGGAAAATTGTGTTTGAATAAATGAATGGATGGGTAAAATAGTATTACTAGGCTTCAATAACTAAGACTGACTCCTGGATGTATGACTATAATATGGTTCGAAGTCCTTAGAATACATTGTAAGTAGGAGAGGTATTTCCTGGGCCATAATAACAATTTCTGAGAAACGTGGGTCTTTGAAGAGGGAAAGTCCAATTGAAGTCACAGCTATCTGGCTTCAGAAAGTTGTCCATTTTATTGGAAGGATATGTGAAATGGAAGTTGGATGAATGTTGGGAAGCTACGTTTATATCTGTTGTTATTTCCTCCAAATTTCTGGCCATCGTATTGGTCATAGGTGACTTCAATGAGCAGTTGTGCCGTGGACTATGCATGTGAAGTGTTCTGTGTAGACTCTGGATTATAAACTTCTACTAGGTTGTAATCTCACCAGAAATTAAGATTTTCCTGTAATTCTCATTTGTTAGAAAAAAAAGATAAGTCACAGGCCTCATTTTTCAGAGAGGTGATTTCTTACACCCTACTAAAGAAACTGTTTAGTGCACTTTCCAAATTCAGGCTTCATATTGAACCCTAAAGCCTTCCCTTGTTTAGTCTCATGGGGCCCCTGCCCACTGCCTGCTCCAGTGCCATTGACTAGCTATGACAGTGGAGGGAAGGTCTGCAGACATGTTTGACTCTTGCTTAGTCAACATTTGACCTCAGCATGACTGGAAGGCATGTTCCTGAGTCTCCAGCCCTGTACCAGACACCTTGTATATCTAACTTTATATCCTCTCTACCCTTGTTCTTATTGTTTATTGCTTTGGCAGCCTGTGACACCAGGTATGGTTTGGCATCAACTCCATTCAACTGTACCACATACCTCTGGCTTTCTGTCCTAAGCTTTCTCTGATGTCCTGGTGTTGGGCATCTGTGAGAACCTTTAGCCACTCTGGTACATATGCCTACTTGGAAGTATGAGAGATTAATACCTTGAGACCATCTTTGACTGATGGTGGATAGAAGCTGATGGATACATGTTCCTTTCTGTCCCTGTCTGTCTCACTGAGCCCCAAAATAAAATTCATTGGCATTTAGATTGTATTCATCTTTGTTCACTCTACAAACATGAGCCAATACTGTTGGAGATACCAGGCACCAAAAATTTCTTGTTCACTAGTCTGTCCCAGGACCTAGCCCAGTGTCTGCTGCATGGCAGATACTCTATAAATAGTTACAGAGTAATTGACTGCTATGGGAACAATGAGAAGAACATGATTAACTGCACACAAAGCCATAGTATTAAAATAAGTAGAGAAAGGCAGCAGACATTATAGACAAAAGCAGTCATATAAATTGTCATGATAGAAGGGAACTGCATGAACTTTGTGGAAAAATGGAATCAAAGTATGAGTTTATTTTGGTGTATAACATTTTTAAATCCATGCATAGTTTTTCATAATACACATTTCTATGAATATTTTGAAGACCCCTCCTATATTTGAGCTGTGGTCAGCTGTCTGATTTGGCCAGAGCTTAGGGTACAACGTAAGGCCATAAATAAAATGTGTTCAAGCACTTTGAACATTGCTTGATGTTCTACATGAGTAAGTCTTGGTATTTTAATAAAATTAGTATATAGCGATTTCTTCTCACCAAGTTGCAACCTTCTCTAGGAGAGGGACCCACATGTGGTAGAGTGCTTAACATGTAGTAGATGCATAATATATAATACATTTTTTAAATAGTGGTTAGATGTAGATAGATAGATGAGTGGTCAGATAGATATGAATGGATGGACATACAAATGTTGAAGGAATTAATTAATTAGAAAAGGCCATAGATCAAGCCTAACTTGATGAGTGGCAGCTACCAAAAAAAAAAAAAAACAAATTTCCCACCTCGTTTCATCACAGCTAATGCCAAATGTAGTTATTATAGCTAATATAGACCTCTGGGAAGCACTGCACTTCCTGTTGAACCTTAAGAGTAAAGCACAGAGCACCCACACCGTTTCCCCATTGCCATTGGGTTGTAAACAGCAGGGGCAATGCTTCCCTTGTGATAAATACATGCATGTACATACAAAAATACCTCCAGGGGAAAGTAAGAGATGTGTGCATTCAACAACTACAAAAAAATAAATAGGAGAGCTCACATTTCTACGTGAAGGCAGAGGGGGGAAAGGGGGGAGCGGTATTTCACAGTGTCTCTGACCTCTTCTTATTCCATCAGGTTTGGGGATAGTATATAAAACACCAAGCTCCATGCTGACAAACACTAGTATTGAAACTATTGCTACAGTCAATCCAAACATCCTTCTCCCCTGGGTGAAATTATTATTTGGAATACAAGCAGAATCGTGGTTCTCTGAGCTAGCTGAGCATAAATGAGGGTAGTGATTCATAAGGTGACTCTAGCAAGTTTGCAAATGTGCAACTTTTATGGAGGCTGACACACACAATAGGAGCTCGGCAGTGCCTTTCTGAGCTCGTAAGCACTTTCTGGCCTCACTACCTCTCCAGGACTTGGAGGGCTGTGGAGGATGCAGGCTTCTGAGGATAAGACTTAACCTGACAGAATGTTGATTTACCAGAAATAAACCCCTCACATCAGATCACACCCCTGTCAGGAGCTTTTTGAGCGGGACAATGGTAATTCTGCCTCTTCATGTGTTCATTTAAGTACTTGAACTCTTGTTCCATTGGATTAAGTTTTGGGAGGCTGGGTGAGCTGGGGTATTAATTCTATCCTCTAGAGGTTGGAGAAAGTGGTACTGGTTTAAAAATACAACTCTCTGAACTTTTAAACCCTCAAATCTTTTTGATAATGTAGCTTCCCTTCCATAATCCTGAACCTGATTTCTTTTATTTTCTAAAAAAAAAAGAAGAAGAAGAAAAAAAAAAGCATTCTTTGCTATCAGTAGAGTAAGTTCAAAAGGAGCAGAGATGGGGATAGAGTTCAGCATAGTTTTGTACAGAGAAAGGAGTTAAGAGAATCAGCATAATGATGCTGGGATGATGGCAGCGTAATGGGAGGTCTGCTGAGTAGGTCCCAGACACTGCGAGTGCCTCTCTGATAGACTCTGAAAGTGACAAGCTGCAGTTTCTTGTGACCTCGTACCAATTAACCGATCTAAATGGTGACATAGCCAAGTTTGAGGTCACACACAGTTCTGAAAGGTAGGCTGCCCTTCTGAATGGGGACTAACTCACTCTCCACGTTGAAACAGGCAACAGCGGGAGAAAATCCTAGAGCTGCGTTTGAGGTCTCCTTTTCATAGTTTGTGATTTGGGGAGAGGACTCCTTGTGATGCAGACCAATACATTCATCACACCAGCGAGGAGAGGCCTGAGGTCATCTAGACCCTGAAGTTGAAAGAGTGGAGGAGCCTATGTTCACGTGAGGATCGGGGAGGCTGTGTTGTCCTGACATTGATGTAGCTGCAGCAGAGACAGACCAGCCTGACCCATAGAAGCTCTCTGCACCAGTGAGAAGAGAGGAACAGCCTGTATGCCCCTCTCAGTCTGCTGACAAAATATTCTAGAACCTGGTTCTCATCCCTGGTGACCAAAAAGCACTGCCATAGAGACCTTGGCACAGATGCAGACCACCTAAGGTTGACTAATTATACCGTGTCCAGGCAGGGGACTGCAGGCTGCACGTCCCTCCGCCTGGAGCGAGCTGAGCCAAGCTCCTGAGGTGGCAGTAAAGGCACATTAGCCGACAAACCTGTTCCATCATGCAAACAAAAGCTGTGTCTATCCAAGAAGGGGAGAACTGCTCCCTGAAAACCATCCAGAGAAAAACAAACAAGCCCCTAAAATATGCTTGCTGTCAGCCTTCAGTGTTGAAAAGATGTGGGCTTCATTCGGCCGCTGTCTCATGCTTGTTCTCCCTTCGTTTCAGCTCCCATTTTCTCCAGCAATCACTCAAGCCGAAGTGGAACAGCTGCTGGGGCCGTGCCACCCCCACATCCTGTCAGTCACCCTTCTCCAGGACATAATGTACAGGGGAGCCCCCACAACCCCTCCTCCCAGTTACCTCCACTCACAGCTGTGGACGCGGGAGCTGAGAGGTAAGGCCATCTGTCTCTCTCTTGTAATAGGTGTCGCCGCCAAACCTCCCTCCACAGAGAAGTGCTTTGACAGTTGCTGAATTTTATTAATAATCTGTTAGTGGGTTGAGTTACCCAAAGGTGACATTTAAAAAGTACATACAAGAAGCACGTGGACCAAATATCTCATTATCTATTTTATTTTTCCATGGGAAAACAAGTGAAATTATATTGGCAATAGTCAACAGAAATGCTTGATGCTAGAAAAACTCATCTGAATTCCTCTGACCCTCCTTTTCCCCAATTTGTTTGAGGGACTCCATTTTAAGGTAATATATGTACAGACGGAAACGCTTTCCAGATGTAAGATGGTGTTGTCGCCACATAGATCAGTAGTGTTAGTCTACAAGTAAAGCATACAAGGGCACAGGATTCTGTATGGGTGATCAGAAAGGGGCCATTCACCGAATACTTTCTATTGATTCACCTGCAGACAGTCTCTGGGGAAAGACTTTCAAATGACCATAATCTTTATATTTTTATTTTTGAATTTTGCATGGGCTACTGAGGCCTTTTGGGGTCCTTTTTCATACTTCTACTTCCCAATCTCTTGCCTTTTTTTGTTTGTTTTTGTTTGTTTGTTTTTTGCCATAGAGTGTGTGTGCTTGCTAAAAAGAGTTAGAGAGAGGGAAAGTGAGAAAACATCCCCTGGGGATGGCCACACTGTAGTCCCTTCACCTCCATTCTCCTCTCGGGATCTTGGACAGGGACACATACCTGGCATGATTTTCAAGCCACCAGGTCCGGTACTCAAACTGTGGTCAGCCATGTGGGAGTCTAATGCCTGCACCACTATGCCACTTGCTGGCCCCATCTTCTGTCTCCTTTAGAGTATGCTCTAGTAAGCCTCTCTTGCCTAATGTATGGCTACCATTAGTACAAACAGCCTTGGAAGGAGGTTGGATCCACTAGCCCTTCTGTCTGAACTGCCCAACCCTCCAGGAATGTGGAGAGAATGTCAGCATCTCTTGCTACCCCTCTCCACTTGTCATCTGAGTTGAATTGACCTACCTGTGGTCACTCCCAGATACCTGCAAGATAAAGTTCTTGTAGTGACTCTGGTGCAATTCTGGAATAATAGGTATTTGGTGAACAAAATAGAGAACCTTATCATCAATCTGTGGTTCCATCTGGGTTAGCCTGGTCTATGTGTTTTTAAGACTAATAAACCAAATATGGGAACTTCAAAAAAGTTTGTGGAAAAATGGAATTAAAGAACAGTTTACTTTGATGCAGACATTTTTTGAAATCCATGCGTAGTTCTTTCACGAGACATATTTTCCACAAACTTTTTAAAGACCCCTTGTATTTGTGATTTATGCTCACCTCTCTAGGTATGAAAATGTTCTTTCATTTAAGAAACATCTTGGGGCCAGCAAATGTCATAGAGGTTAAGGCACTGACATGGCCCACTGCATGGTCCAAGTCCCATACTGGTGGCTTGGAAAATCACATTGGCTGTGTGTGCATTCATGCCCAAGATCTTGAGAAGACAATGGAGAAGGGATCTTGGCATGGCCATCCCTACTTTCTGTCTCTCTCTGGTGAGTACATATGCCCTATATCAAAAACTGGGAGAAAGCAGGTGAAGGGGAGAACTTCTTTTGAGTATCTGCTTTGTATCAGACTTGGTATTGAGTGCCAGACATAGATAATTAGTAAAATGTACTCCTGCACTTACAGGTCTTAGTGTACAGACATGAGAACAAAGGATAATAAGGCTCTTTTAATAAATGATATGATGGAGATTCCACGGGAGCCTAAGAAGGATTTCCTAAATCTAGGGAAGGAGGGAAAGAGACAGAATGATCTAGGTATGGAAATAAGACTAAGGTTTTTCCATATGGATGAATGACAAATAATATTCCTGGCAGCAAAAAGAACACAAGCAAGATGTGAGGAAGGGAGAGAACACACATCGAGGGAGGTCACAGTAGCTCAGGATGGCAGCGGGAGAATGTGGCTCAAAGTCAGATAATAGTAGATTGGTGTATGTGGAACCATATATTTCATGCTAAGGAATTTGCCCTATATCCTACTGGAAGCATCCAATCATTATGAGTTCTTATTGGGATAAAAAGGTAGTTAGCTTGACATTATAGAAGAGAACTCGGATGACATGATGATAGAGTAACTGAAGCTGGAATGACAGGTGGGAAAAACAAAGAGACTATTTGCAGGAGTCCTCGTGAGCAATAAGGAGACTTGAAGCAGTCAAAGCAGTAAGGATGGAGGATTTATTCAAGAGCTCTTATTTAGAAGCAGAATCACTAATTATGAGTTGAGAATCCCTACTCCAAAAGTCCAAAATCCAAAACTTATCTATTTCCATGATGCCAAAGTTGGAAAATTCCACACCAGACCTCATGTGATGGGTCATAGTGGAAATTCTGCAATACAAAAATATTGTGTAAACGTACCTCAGGCCATGTGTATAAATTATGCAGGAAACATAAATCAGTTCTGTGGTTAGACTTGTTCTTATCCCCATGATAGCTCATTGTATATAGGCAAATATTTCCAAATCCAAAAAATAAAGCAAAAAGACTAAAACACAAAAATCTGAACTTCTGGTCCCAAACATTTTGGATAGGAATGCTCAACCTGTATTAATATATATGTGGAGTAAAGAGGAAGGAACAAAATTCATTCCTGATTTTCACCCCTAGACTCCAAGATGGAAATTTGTTCCATTAACAGAAATTGAAAATAGAAGAGTTTGATAGTATGGTGGACAAGAGGGCGTTGGGTGAAGGGGGAGAGGGGAAAGCAGGAATTGACAAATTGACTTTAGGAGCTTGGGTTTTAGTTGGTTGTAAAAGATCCATGAGATGTATATGACAAACAATGAGAAATATGAATGAAAAGGTGTCAAACTTATTGTAACAGTTCTGTATATATGGTAAAATATAAACAGATTATTACCTTTCTCCTGCAGGATCTGTCAACAAAGCAGTGCAAATGATAACCATCCATTAAGTTTGCAGACACTGGAGACAGGAAATCTATCCTTCCAGTTATCTGATAAATTCCTATAAGTTGAGATGAGCTTATTCTTTTTAGCGTGTTATGTAGTTTCCAATTGGGCTTTAAGTGACGTTGGCGGTGGGCTTTTCATCATCTCGCTTCATTCTACCTGGCTGAGAATCATACTCCATGAGGTAGTGAAGCTCAGAGATGGTCGATCAGAGCTTTCTCTTGTTTGCTGCATCTCCTTATTAATAGTCATAACAACTCTAGTGAGAATGTATGAGAAAAGCAATAATTATGTTTCCATTTTGTACACAGTTTTTAAAAGAATACATGTAAAAAAAGATTTTAACCACTACTGGAGTCAAAAACAACTACCTTCACAACCCAAACACCTTGTGTGTGCATCCCAGCTCTGACAGTTGCTAATTATTTGGCTGCTCCTGCTGTTTGGGTTTTCTTTTGTTTTGTTTTTAACATTTTATTTTATTTCAATATTTTTTATATTTTCTTCCTTCTTTCGAAAGTTTGTAACATAAAAAATTTCTAGAATAGTACAATGAAAACCTAACTACCCTGCATCCATATTCACTCAATGTTAATATTTGGTAATTTTCTCTCTTTCTCTGTCTCTGTAACTTGGGAGATCCTTTATTTGTTTATTTGTTTCTGAACCATTTGAGAGATAGTTACTAATATCATTGAGCTTTATTTCTAATTACTTCAGTAGACATCTCTTAAGAAGGATATTGTCCTACATAAAACCAATATAATGACACTCAAGAAATTTAACTTTGACATAGCACTATTATGTGATAATAAATATTCAGATTTCTTTAATTTTGTGAATAATGCTTTTTTGTTTGTTTTTAGTTTTTTCCACAGGGCTTGTGTGCTCATAAGAGAAACAGAGAGCAGGAAAGTAAGAAATCACCCCCTGGAGGGATGGCCACATTGCAATCTCTTCTCCTCTCAGGAACCACACACACAAACACACACACACACACACACACACACACACACACACACACAGTGTTTTCAAGTGGTGTTTTCAAGTCACCAGGTTTGGGACTTGAACCATGCAGCTGGCGAGATGGCTACATCTTCCTTAACCTCCATGCCATTTGCTGACCTGTGAATAATGTTCTTTCTGGATGGATTTGTTTGTTTTTTTTTTCTTTTTTATCTAATAAGGACCATATAATGCATTTAATTCTCATTTCCTTTTAGTCTTCTTGAACCTAATGAAATTTCTCATATTGTATTATAATGTCTCACAGACTATTAACAGTTTTTCAAGAACTCAGGACATTCATTTCACAGAATATTTTACTGTTTGGATCTGTCTGATTGTTTCCTCTTGAACAGATCCATTGTAATTATTTTTGGTGGAGATACCATGTAGGGAATATGGTCTTTGTTAGTATTTTTCATGCTTAGTTTGCACGTCATGGGACATTATGGTTAAACGAACCAAACCAGGTAAAGTGCCTGGCATGTTATATGTGTGGCATGAAGCTCACGTTCAGTAGCTGTGGGTGCTAATGTACGAAAGACAGCAACCTTGACTTAGCTGAACAACCCAGTCCAGAAGGTGGAAAATGTTGTTAGAGATGACAGGGGCTAGTAATAATCGTGGAAGAGGAAATAGAGAGGAAGGGGAAAGTGATGGCGCTTTGCATGGCTGAGTGAATGAGGTGGACATTTGCACGGCTGTGATCTCGCCTTGCTGTTGTATTCTTCCCACAGGATGTGTGCCCTGTCCCTGAGCCAGCCCAACTGGAGCGGGCAAGTGTGAATGTGGTAGGTTATCTCTTCCG